AATTTACAAAAACGTTTGAACAAATACCCTTAGACTAATAGCTTCGCATAATGTCTGCTCCCAGTCAGATCCGTACATATGCTGACGTGTCTGCTACAGTGATGTCTTATGAGTAGTTTAATATACATGTCTATCTTGTATCCTTCCTGGCTGCAACGCAGGTAGGTAGCATTACTTGGCTATCGTTAAAGCAACATACTTTATTCCACTACATTAATGGTTCGTATTACCATGAGAACAATGCCTTTTGTTCCAGTAGGATTCCTGCTGCAGGTTGTACTTTCATCATGATTATACGACTCGTCTGGCTATTTATATGCTTCCTATATTTTGCTGCTGAAAAATTGCGTTTTCAAATATTCCATTTTGAACAGTAAATAAAACTGTACTTTCTTTAGTAGCACTTCATTCTGAGCACTTGAAAGAATTTGCGTTGCGCCTTTTTGATGGTTCAGATTTTATATCCGTTGTTTCAAATCAGTCAAACATAGATCCAGCCACTCTTTGCGTGAAGAAATTTTTATCCTGTAAAAGCCATATTTTGACGAGTCCTATTCAGCAAGTTATGTGGTGTGTTGGGCCAGTGGCTTAGAGGTGTGCTTGGGATATCAGAGGTGACGAGTTTGAATCCGCTCGAAGACAACCCTTGTCTAATTCACAAACTCATTAGAGCAAGAAATTTATCAGACACTGATTCTGATCGTGGTTACACATTCGTTAACTCAGAGCCAAAAGATCCTGAGTTCAAGCCCAGACGGGGTGGGGTCACTCGCCGTTTTCCCTCCGAGTTTGATAAACGAGTGCCACTCTGTGTGATAGAAACTGGAGACTAAACGCTGCCTTGATACACACGGTTATAGGCACTGCCTTTCAAACATAAGGCACTCCTGGCTGATGGCATGGAAACGGAGATCAGCACCGCACTCTGGGGGGGGGGCACCGAAATGATCGTCATGAAGGGGAAGGAATCTCCACATTACAACGTGATAAACTTTCTTTTTTTCTTATCATTTAAGATATGGCTGATCACAGATGCTGACGATAAACGTCATCCATATTCTGTAACAGCTATAGAAAGTTTCTCTCTTAGTCAAGTATGCGATTCACTTGATCATGAAATCAATGAGTGTCTGTGAGCTATCGTGCAACACATCCCCATGATACACTGTTGCCCTGGCGCTGGGCTTCACTGATAAACACTTCTGAAAATCTCCATG